GAAACACAAGTTAACTTTAATTTTGAAATATGCTAGTCACAGGAGAAGCAAAGTATCAGTGAAACTGGCAGCTATTGTTTAAAAAAAAAAAAAAAGCACCTACAAAACAGGACACCTGTCCTTTTTTTGACAGTGGATCAGTTTGAAATATGTCAGGTAGTCATGAACAAGAAGGAGCAGCTGTGAAATAATCGTGATCTTGATATTGATCAAAATAATCGTGATTATCATTTTGGCCATAATCATGCAGCCCTAAGTTATGTTTATAAAAATAAATAAAGTTCATAGGAGGAGGAGGGTAAACACCATTATGCTGCAGCCCGAGCTCACCTCTGCTACTCCCAGGTCGGAGATTTTGAGTGCCCCGTCTGTGGTCAGCAGCAGATTCCCTGGCTTAATGTCTTTGTGAACTATTCCCTGGCTGTGCAAATATTCAAGGCCATCTAAGAGTTGGCAAAAGTACCTGAAAAAGATAAACAGGGGGGTTGATGAATATAGTTAAAATAGGAGTGGAAGCATTCAATACAATTGGCATATCAAACAACTTATCACTGTGGTCAGATAAACCTTCATCACGTAGTCCTTTAGCTTTAGTGGCTTTCCAGCAGCGACCAGACATTCACACAATCTATGGTCAGTTATTGTAACAGTAGACGCCCTGTAGATTTGGATCTAAACTTAGGCTTGAAGCAAAGGCTGCGGAGAGGCTCAAACTAAATATAGCAGAGAGACTGAAAAAAAGAGGGAGCAGAGAGGGGAGAGGGACAGAAACACAGAGACTTACCCGTGAGCTTGAAATACTGGAAACCTTTTTTCTGGGACGCTGTCCAGCATTTCTTGCATCCCACAAACGCAATACTCCATCACCATATACGTAGGTCAGGAGTCAAGGGGGATTTGCCAAACCAAACAAACAGATCCTTTAATAAATGAGCCAATTATATAGCTGATAACTATCAACCCAAGACATTTATAGAAATAACCCTTACAAACAGCAACATTTACGGTCTAAAGCCGTCAACTACCAAAGTCAACTGATGCACACCCTCTTTTAGCAACGAAAGGATATATCTTCTGCTTCTCTTCATTGTAGAGCACATCCACCAACTGAATCACATTCTTGTGTTGGAGTCTTCTTAGCAGCTGAATCTCCCTATAAATGGTCACAAGAACAAAAAACATGCAAAAGATGCATTTAGAAAATATACACGAGAGAGAGAAAGAGAGAGATATTTCATTTAATACTGGCCCTTGTCTGCTGTGAGTGTAGGCTAAAGGCCAGGTGCCATATATCCGCACAACACCACTAATGTGGCACAAAACAGGAGTGTAACAGTATGTGTGTTTGTCCCAAGCTGTTCGGTACAGGACGTTCAGTTCAGTATGCGACTGCCTCGGTTCAGTACGCCCTGTGACCCAATCAATTACTGTCAAAATGTTACTGTTTATCTACTACTTACACTCGGGTAACAAAAATTCAGTTCAGAGTGCAAATTTTACCAGGAAGGTTTAGCAGTCTATCAGCTGTAGCATGCTAGTCGGCTTAGCCGGGTTAGTCAAGCTCAATGAGCAGCAATTAGTGTCAACCTGTTGTCCATTGTTCAACTGTACTCGGGTATGTTTGTGGAAACACATTAAACATGTCATTTACAACGGAAACAGACCGGTGGCCTCTCACTGCTGTAGTGTTTATCACTGCAGATATGCAACCACACTTTAATTTAAACATATAGTGCTTGAGCGCTGCTACGACGTGCCTCAATGTGTGCATTTAAATCCGTCTGCAGTCTGTATAAACAAGTGCAAGTGGCTGTTGTTCAGGAATGAAAACAAGTCTTATGATGGAGCATGACTGATAATTGTGCAATTTATTTTTGATTACTTTTTCTTACTGATTTATTACTGACATTTTTAATAATATGTTGAGGGCAACTCAATCATTTCATGAGTCAACATTTCCCCATTTGTATTTCTCTTAATATAAAATTGAAATTCATTTTGTGATTTAGTAACCACTAATTAAATCTGTATATCCATTATAATAAGAGGAAAAACAAATGAGACTCTTCTAAAAGATGATTCATGGAAAACAGAATGATACTGTAAGACTTGATATTGTCTGAGTGCAGCAGCAGTCAATAACAGTGGTCTCATAAAGACAGAAACCCTGACAGTTCACTTCCCTTCCCAAGGAGAGCAGGTTTAAATCACCAGCATGGCAAAATCCCCCAGGAGACTCAACATTCACCAGAGAGCTGTGAGTGGGCACACTAATGAATTTGGATCTGGATGGGAAGAGCACAAAGTAAAAGCCACAGGCTTCTCTAAACATACTATCCACATCCACAAACAGAGGAAACGATTTTACCTACAAATTAGGGATGGGAATCTTTATTATATTATATATTACTGTTTGTCTCGGTGCTACATTGTTTACATTACTGCAGACTGCCAGTAATGTCTTTTAATTAGCAGCAGTTACATTTACTTAAATAAAGAAATACATGCTAAGTTTAAGTTAAACAATGACTTTAACGGTCAGATATATTTCATATTGCAGTGGATGAAATCCTTCAGATCAATGCACAACCCACAGACGACCCTAAAGCTTGCATACTGTTTGAGACATGTCAAGTTCCTTCTTCCTTGGAAGATTTTAACATCAGGGATGATGGCGCTGGTTGAATTCATTTCCCTGCTCCATAGCGTCATTGTTAGCAGCACCACTCCAGCTGTGTCTCACATCATGGCGGCCCTATGTGCTCGCAGCAGAGTTCTGTCTTTACTATTTCACCAACATATTTAGTGCGGAGAAACTAAAATGTTACCAGTGACAAAGATCTTGATTCCTCCCCACCCCCTACTGGAAAAACATGTTATTTAATGCATCACGCAATAACAGGTCAAAGCGATAAAGGGAGTGCGCATGTGTCTGCTTTTAACTCTGACACAATCTCAAAAAACATTTCCGTCCCTGATCACCCTGCAGTTTACAAGTTGTGTCAGTCCTCTGCCTTACAAACAGTCTCACTACTGACAAATGGATATTTTGGGCAGAGTCAGCTTCTCGCTTGAACACAGACACACAGACACACACAGACACACACAGACACACACACAAAGCGGTTACTGCTGCATCACTGCACACATAAAAACTGATTAAAATATCGTGAGGCGTAACGAATAGCCTCTTTTTAAGCTGTACATCATCTCCACTGTTGAACTGAACGGCAAGTGAAGATGACATGTCTGAAATGTAGCGAACCAAGCTGCATCTGCATCACGGCTTGTTTCCATAAAGCTAATCATAAAACAGAGGCGGAGCTGCCACTAAGGCACAGCGACTGCTGCAGTCCATCTGCAGTCTCTGAGTTCAAATGTGCGCCGACGGACCTTGTGTGCGTTCAAGGCCTGCAGCGCTGAAAGGATTTCAGCACTCAGCGATATGGCAGCACAGTGGCAACATAAACAACTGATTGAAATCTGCAACTGCACTGTACTCGTCCAGACTCTCTCTCTGTGTGTGTGTGTCGGTGTGTCTGTTGTGTGTGTGTGTCTGATGTGGTGTGTGTGTGTGTGTTGTGTCTGGTGTGTTGTGCTGTGTGTCTGTGTGTGTGCTGTGTGTGTCTGTGTGTGTGTGTGTGTGTGTGTGTGTGTGTGTGTCTGTGTTGTGTGTGTGTGTGTGTTGTGTTGCGTGCGCTCCTATCATTCCAAACAAGGGCACATTCTTGGGGTGTTGCCGTAGAAACAGGAGTGGCATAGCTTAGTCAATGCCAGTGTGAGCATGCCCATCCCCATGGCAACCCTGTAAAAGCAGGAAGAGTTGGGCAGACAGGAATGTTAAACAGAGCCTGAATGGAGAAGCTAGGGGCTACTACGGCATCCACACACACACACACA